GTACAGAATATGGTATCTCACACTGAGCGGGCCCTCAAGGCTGTCTCTGACTGGATTGATGAGCAGGAGAAGGGCGGCAGCGAGCTCGCTGAGGCAGAAAATATGGATACGCCCCCAGACGATGAGAGCAAAGAAGGGGCTGGGTGAGTCTCAAGGTTCTCTCTCGTTCTCTCGTTCTGTGTGTGTGTGTGTGTGTGTGTGTGTGTGTGTGTGTGTGTGTGTGTGTGTTGAGGAAGGCTCAGGCCTTTTCAGGCAGGGTCTCATGTTGCCCAGACTTGCTACTTCACTATGTATTGAAGGCTGCACTTGAATTCCTGATGCCTCCTGCCTCTATCTTGCCTAGCTCTTACAGGGTTTTTTTGTGACAGGATCTCATGGGATAGCCCATGCTGACCTTCAACTTACTTTGTAGCCCAAGGTAGCATCAAAACCACAGAGGTCCTTCCTTCTGCCTCAGCCTCCTGAGTGCTGGGATTACAGGTCTGTGTCACTATGTGGCACAGCTAAGCTAACATCTCTCCTAAGAAGTGACAGTCTCCCTGGGTTCTGGCTAGGTTGGCTTCCCATTGAGCCCGACTTTTGTCTGTCTCTCAGGGAACAGAAGGCGGAACACATGACTAGGACCCTGAGGGGCGTGATGCGGGTCGGCCTGGTAGCCAAGGGTCTTCTGCTCAAGGGGGACTTGGATCTGGAGCTGGTTCTGCTTTGTAAGGAGAAGCCCACAACTGCCCTTCTGGACAAGGTGGCTGACAACCTGGCCATCCAGCTCACTGTGAGTCACCGTCACCACCACCACTACCACCACCACCACCATGCCAGAGGGGGTCCTAGCGCTTGTGGAGAGGGTGTTCAGAGGAAGAGAGGGCCTATCTGTGTCATGTGCCAGGGAGCACCCCTTATATCTGCCATGTGTTCACCTTGATACCTAACAGGTCACCACAGAGCCTTTGAGGGCCTGTGGGAATCACCCACTGCTTATAGTGGTTCACAGTCTCCTAGTTGTTAGTGAAAGCCTTGTGCCCTCACGTGTGCAGCCTGGGCTACTGGGCTAGAATAAACAGTACCATGTGTAGGCTGCATGGGAGGAAGGAAGGAAGGAAGGAAGGAAGGAAGGGCATTAACTCTTTGTGGGTCAGACCTGGACATACTTAAAACTACACCCACTTGGCTGCAGCTGGAGCTCAGTGGTAGAGTTCAGAGAGAGAAAGAAGAGGGAAAACAGTGGTCATGGTAGCTTATACCTGTAATCCCAGCAGTTAGGAGGCTGAGTCAGGAAGATTATGCATATTCAAGTCCAGCTTGGGCTATAGAGTAAGACCCTGACTCAAAAAAACACCTCAGTCATTTCTTCCGTTACTAAAATATTGCATAACTAATGGTCTTTGATGCTTGCTGAACATTTACTGAGCCAGACTCCAGGTCAGATGTATGTGTATCTGCCTCCCCCACTTTCTTCGAGAGTTTGTCCATTATGGCCCACCCTCCCTGCCCTGACTTTTTTTGATAGTCTCATATAGCCCAGGCTGGCCTTGACATCTTTATCTTCCTGCCTCCAGAATGCTAGGATTATAGGAATGGGTCTCCCTGACCAGTTGTGGCTAATCTCATACTTGTCTGAGTGATAGGGGTGATGTGACTGACATTCAGGAGCTGGGAAGCTGATTCCAGCATATGCCCCTCTGGGGGGGGCGGGGCAGCCAGAGACAGCAGAGCTTCTTCACTGTCATACTCTGAGTTTCTAGAAAAGTTCTCCTGGATTTAACTTAAAAGATAAGCATACAGAAATTTCAGGTTGGTTTTAAGTATTGTTACGTTGCAAAGAAAAATGCCTTTGTATGTCAGTAAACATTCCATTTTGGGTACATGCTCGGGAGAGGTGTGAATTGAGATCTGGAAGAGCAGCAAGTGCAGAATGTTAGAAACTTGAGGGGAACTGCCACAGGTAGACTCTCAGATGGTTTCTCACCGCTGGGATTTCGTGATTACTATTGTCTCTTTCTAAAGAGTGCTATGTGGAGCACGTTGGTCAATATTTTGAAAGAAAGAGCTTTGGGATCTCTAGGGGTGGTAATGGATGTAGTGGACGCCTCACAAGGCGTGCATAGAGCTGTGGTTAGTGAGCCTGCCCAGTCCAACCCTCGTGTGCACACAAGGGGTGCTCATTCTGTCAGTGCTTCCTGACAGCTGAGAGCTCCACCCTCTCTGGGGACTTTGGGCATCTGGAGACAGGGAGAAGTGAGGCACTCCTTCCCCAAGTGAGTGGTTGCCAGGGATGCTTTGAACACCCTGTGTGACACGGGACAACCTCCTCAGCAAGAATTCCCTGATCCAGAGGTGAGCCATGCTGAGGTCCATTTCCAGGGCACAGGTCCTCTCTGCAGTATATGGATGGACTTTCCTTTTTTGAGACAGGGTTTCTCTGGGTAGTCCTGGCTGTCCTGGAAGTCCTCTGTACACCAGGCTGGCCTCGAACTCAGAGATCCGCCTGCCTCTGCCTCCCAAGTGCTAGGATTAAAGGCGTGTGCCACCACTGCATGTCCCACTTAGTTTAAGAGAATGAAATTTTTTTCCAATTAACAAGAACTAGCTTATAAAGAAGTTGAGTGGACTCTTGAGCACCCTGTAGACCTGCTTTGCAGGACACACATGATTCCTTGTCTCTCGCTGTCTATAGGCTAGAGTAATGCATGTGCTTCTCTTCCATGTTGGCTGCTGACTGCTTCTCCCAGCATGAAACTTGCTGAGGCTGTGGATCCCCCTCTGTCATGGGCTTTGTTCTGTAGCTTTGAAGTGTGTGCATGTTAGTCCATGTTAGAAATTAGAAGCCCCAGCCTTGAGCCAGCACTAAGGCTGAGACAAGAGAGCCACTGTGCAAGACGAGCTTGTCTCAGAAAATGAGAAAAAAGACCTGGTTTTCTCCAGATAGGCTCTCCCTTGTATCCCAAACTGGCCTTGCGTTCAGTCTCCTGCCTCAGCATCCCGAGTGCTAGGGTTATAGGCTTATGACTTCCTGGTTGGCTAGCTGTTGCATTTATTTTATTTTTACACTAGATTTCACTCTGTAGCTGTGGCTTGCCGTGAGCTTGCTCTGTAGACCAGGTTGGCCTTAAACAGCAGTGTCCTCTTGCTTTTGTCTTTAGGGTGCCGGGATTTCAGGCATGTACCCTGATGCTCAGGCTTGAATTTCATTTGGTTTTTGTTTGTTTTTAAATTAACATTGATTGTTTTTGATGTCATTGTGCTACCCAGGCTTGCATTAACTTCCTGGGCTCAAGTTATCTTCTGGCCTCAGTCTCCCAGTCTCAGCCGCTGGAATAGCTAGCTGCCTGCCACTGCATTAGCTCCTTTCACTCTCTGCCCTTGGGGTAGTTTTGTTCTGTGGCCTGGGTTAGCGTTGACTTCATTATCCTGCCTTAGTCTCTGTAACTGCTGGGATTATAGGTATAAGCCACCTCGTCTGACTCCTCCCTTTACATTTTAACATTCTTGGTGGAAATAGCTTCTCTGGCTACAGGGTTAGAGGCCCACCCAGTATTCATAACCTGAGACCCAATGGAGTTTGTCAGGATTGTTGATTGCCTTACAGAGAAAGTGGTTTGAAAGCTACCTTCTTTTCTCCTCCTCCAGACTGTAACAGAAGACAAGTACGAAATACTCCAGTCTGTGGATGATGCTGCGATTGTGATAAAAAACACAAAAGAACCCCCCTTGTCCTTGACCATCCACCTGACCTCCCCCGTTGTCAGAGAAGAAATGGAGAAAATATTAGCCGGAGGTAGGGAGGCCGAGAGAGGCCAGCAGAACGTTGCAGACTTGGTGTTCCCTCTCGCTCAAATGTGCTATTCAGTTTTAGAGTGTTGTGATGAGAGGGTGTCAGTGTAGCTCTGACTGCCTGTACTCGAAAGTCCTGTCTCCCCTTGGCCTCGTGCTCTTGGGAGTTGGACTCAGCAGTGGCACTAAAAGTGAGTAGCACTTTGTATAGGGAGCGCACCGTTTTGTTTGCTCCTTGAATGGTCTTGAACCTCCTTGTTGAACTTGTTTTCCTCTGAAAAAAAAAAAAAAAAGTGTGTCCCCAGGAATCTTCCAGTGTTGCAGTGGTTAGCGGCAGCCAGATGGCTTCTCTATGAACGGCACGTAGGGGTAGCGATCCCTGCGGCACAGCCTGGGTGGTTTCCTTTGGCCTCTCTCTCTGCCTGTGGCACTCTGTGAGCTTCAGAGAGTCCAGGAGCTGCAGCGGAGTTTGGGATAAGGTTTTAACCATTGTGCTGTCTTCCAGCCCAGTCTTTGCACTTCAGATGCCAAGCTGGTACTTAATCTCCATTCAATTCACGATCTCTCTGCAGCCCTCCTGGACCTGCTGTCAGGCCTTATCCAAATCCCTGAGAGCCAAACGACAGCCTAGCTGTACCGCAGCGGAGATAGACTGGTTGATTTCCCTTTGGCACATGTATCTGATGCCAGTGACCAAAGCCCCCCACTTAGCTTATCCACTCAGGGACGCTGGACCTTTGACCAACAGGACTCTCTCTGTCAAGGCCTGGGGCTAGGGCAGTCCTGCCTGGTGGGCGGAGGTGGTCCCCTGTGCTTCAGGTGGATGCCTGTTTGTGAGAAGCAGAGAGGGAGTTCATTTCCACTCCCCCCACCTTTTTGTTTTTGTTTTTGTTTTTCCTATTGTAAATTCCAGCCTAGCTAATTTATGGGGAAGAAACAAGGGAACGGGTCTCAGAGAAGATAGGGTCAGCCTATCTATCTTTTCCCTTCCCCGCCAATTACGCCTTTAGAGTAACTTTTCTTTTTTGATTTTGGTTTTTGTGTCTGTGGTTTAAAATTTTGGAGAGGGCCTCCCAGTTTCTCTGACTTCCTCTCAGAGCAGAGCTGACGGCACTTTATTTAGCCTCTCCTTCCCTTGTCCAGGGTGGACACAAATTGAGACTGTGGGAGACTCAGCTGCCCTTTAGGAAGCTGCCACACCCCTTTGCACCTGACAGAACCCCTTGGTCAAACTGTGCCTTGTCTTCTTATTCCATCCATGAATAGAAACGCTATCAGTCAACGACCCCCCGGATGTTCTGGACAGGCAGAAATGCCTTGCTGCCTTGGCGTCCCTCCGACACGCCAAGTGGTTCCAGGTTTGCATTTTGTTCTTCTCTTTGTCTTTCGGTAGAGAATGCCTAAGTTTGACAACATGGCTAACTTTGACCGTCAAGTGTCGGTAACATTGACTGTGTAGCCGTGCCGATCTTGTTAGCACCTGCAGCGTGCAGCTGCTAAAGGAGCGCGCCCAAATCAATTGGACTTGACAGCCCTGAGGAGGAGGCTCCCGCTGAGCAGTGGGCTGCTTTGCATTAAGAGTAACAGGCCCCCTTCCACATGGCAGGGAGCTAGCTCAGTGCTGGCCACACACTTGGTGGCTCTGCACCCTGCAACCGTTTACCCTTGGCAAAGCAGCACCATGAGATTCGTGTTGTTGACGTTTGCCTGCTGTCCTCCGGGGTGCCCTGAGTGTGAAGAGCCTGTGCTTTCTTCCTCTAGGCCAGAGCCAATGGGCTGAAGTCATGTGTCATTGTCATCCGTGTCCTAAGGGACTTGTGTACCCGAGTGCCCTCCTGGGGTCCCCTCAGAGGA